AGTCGTGGCGAACATGGGACCAAATGGTATTTGAGAAATATAAGTCGAAAGTATAAAGAGATAGGTGCTCCCGACCACCTTTGTCTCTCCCGAAGAGCGCGAGAGAGGAATTTCACGCCAGGGCAAACAGATCGTTATCGCAGGAGCCATCTGTACACACACACACGAACTCACACACACAGACCCCGCCCCCCCCCTTTTCCACTGCGCAGAGAGAATTGTCTTTGAATATAACGGTCAGCCGCATTTTCAAAAGTCAGTGAAGTTAAGTCAAGAGTCAAGACAGATCAGCGAGTCAAGACGTCCACAGGACGAGCAGTCGCATGGAGCGGCTGGCTCCGAGCCTCGCTGAGTAGCGAGGATCGCTGAGTCGCGATGTATCAACAAAAGTGAGTCATACAGCAGTGGAGGAAACCTGCTGTCAGCGAACCAGCACGGGCGCGTTCGCGCACTTCAACAGAGAGAGCACGTGCGACTCAACTCACTCAACTGAAGAAAAAGCTTGGCCAGCCGCCAACAAAGTATCAGCGAATCAGCGCTGAGAGCGCTCGAGCATCTCCACAAAGCAAGCACGTGCAACGTGGCTCAACCAGCAGCGGAAAAGCTTGGGCAGCCGCCAACAACTTCAGCAAACCAGTGACCAAGCGCGTGCGACTTGAGTCATACAGCAGTGGAGGAAACCTGCTGTCAGCGAATCAGCACGGGCGCGTTCGCGCATCTTCAAGAAGAAAGAGCGCGGCCAGCAACGCCAAGCAAGAGCGTGCAGCAGCTCAACCAGCAGTGGAGAGAAACTGCTGCCAGCGAACCGGCACGGGCGCGTTCGCGCACCTTCAAGGAGAAAGAGCGCGGCCAGCAACGCCAAGCAAGACCGTGCAGCAGCTCAACCAGCAGTGGAGAGAAACTGCTGCCAGCGAACCGGCACGGGCACGTTCGCGCACCTTCAAGGAGAAAGAGCGCGGCCAGCAACGCCAAGCAAGAGCGTGCAGCAGCTCAGCCAGCAGTGGAGAGAAACTGCTGTCAGCGAACCAGCACGGGCGCGTTCGTGCATCTTCAAGGAGAGGGAGCGCGCGCCACCAGCGTGCCACCAGCACCAGCGCGTGCCAACAGCGTGCCACCACCGTGCTACAGCGCGCAACTTCGCGTCACCAGCGCTGAGAGGGCAGCGGCCCCGCACTCAACACCCATCGGCGCGACGACGGCGAGCGTCGTGCTGACTCATCCAGCCAGCGGTGGACAGAAACTGGCAGCCGGTCGTATGCAACCCCTCCTCCACACTCTCCCCCTCACTCCCCCACCGCGCCGCAACACACAGGAAACACATTTTGGACACAAGAGATGCTAACCTCGGCGTCTGCTTTACGCAAAGAATTGAACCAGTGATAAAGAAGACACACGATACGCATATCGGGATAATCAAGAAGGGTGCCACTCCAAGGTGGTGCATTAAAAATCAATTCATAAAGGAAAATACTGCTGTCATTGAGTTGCATAATAACCAATCGTCCTGTTAACAACGTGATAAGAATTGACTTGAAGGTCTATGAATGGATGTGGTACTGTGTGGGCAATGTTTAAACACGAATTTACATATTATAAGGTTAAGGTTTTGATAGAATAGTTGCATGTTTTAATCTCTCTCTCAACAACCGATTGATTGTGTTACGCGTCGGGAATTAACCACAGGTGCCGCTATCGAGGTGAAACAACGCAATCGTGATGGTATCATGTTAACGCTGTGTTGAAATTCCAAGGTCGAGAGTTTTCATATTATCCAAAAATTAAAGTTAGCTAGAAAATAAAATTGATCAAAGCAGAAGGTTTGTGTGTGATTCTTCCTGAAATTCTGCATAATATTGTTCTGCGTATGAGATCTGAATCCTGGGGACCTATCATAAGCACACAATCACCACACATAATCCATAACACACATAATTCGTAATGTTCAATCGAGAGTAATCGTATCCTTATCGATAATACGGAATTAAAGAGCAGAGTCGAATCGACTCTCTCTCATTCACGCTCACAACGCCTGCGTCACTGCATACGATTAATTGCGTCATTCCAATTCATAACACAATCCTAGTCACCGAGGCTCGACCTGATAATCCATAACGACCTTCATTATCATAACCACGCCCACTCGCATAAATTAATACGAGTATCTCTCGAATCAGCATAATTTATGCGCCTAATTACACTGATTAACATAATTTCGGGTAAATTATGCAAATCTCAAATTTAATTTAATTTTCATTATTTTCATCAATTTTCATAACACCTATATATACAACATATTCCACCTGAAGACGGAAGCTTGTGTTGCCTCCAAAACGTCGTGATTGAATTGTTTTCTTTTATTTTTTATTTTATCTACGTGACTTTACCGAATAAAACCAAAGAGTATGAATCCTTGCAGTCACGAAAGCTTCAAATCTTGTCACACTGCTTTTCACATGTAACAGCCCTCTTTTTGAATCCACTGCTGGGTGTGGGCCTCGTTCTGTGCGAGGTTGTGCAAGGTTGTTTGACCGTACGGTAGATCCCCGTTGAATGCGCGTTCACACTACGCGTTTTGGCTTTAACACGGTTTTACCTTTTTATGGAAAGTTTCTAGATTTTAACGCTCAACCGCGCTCGCTACATTGCAAGTATAGCGCGTGGTCACGGACTACTTTTCTGAGCGGCGTCGGTGTTAGCAGTGTTGTTGGATGATGCTAGAAGCTGTAGTACTGATGTATGCTGTGATACCCAGCGTACCTTCCTCTTCCTCGGTCTTTGTTCCAGCAGGATCTTTGTGCGCGGAGCATCATCTTGCTCCATTATATTTTTCACTCACCATATCTCTCACTTGAGATTTAATTAAAGGAGTGTCATACTTAGCATATTGATAGAGATACTATATAAACACAACACATTTTAAAATAAACATGTAAAACAGTGTACTGTGCTATCAAAAACAATTAAATTGCGGGCTGGAACGGCACCCCCACCTTTACCGTTATTTGTTATGGGAACATTACTCCCGCTGAACGCAGATTAGTTTCACTTAGCAATTGTCAGGAACGCAACCCCCGTGTTAAGCGAGGACTTGCTGTATCTCACAACCTTTGGTCAGTGCGGGTTGGTGACGATGATAGCGCGGAACAAAACAATGGACATTGCTTCACCGCCATATGCTGCCCACCACAGCCTATAACAATCTGCTGCGGTCGACTTTACCAAAGGCTGCTTTATAATACTCCAATGGCATGACAACAATACGATGATAATATCCGAGTAGATGGGAGCCTCGGAAAGAACGATTTGCCCCCCAGCTTCACGATTAAATGAATACCACGGCTCGGGGCCGTGATCCCATTTAAGGATCCCTCTCTTTAACAGTGGTAAATGTAGTGCCTCTTACTCTTTGTTTTTTTTCGGTAAAGTCACGTATAAATAAGAAATAATAAAATAACATAATAGCGTACGACGTTTCGGTTGCAACACAAGCAGCCATCATCAGGTACAGAAGAGCTAAATTTACGAGAGAGAAGAAACACATAACCCCAGATGTATATACAGACACCCAAGTAGGGGGGAACTAACACAGATACAACAGGGGACACAGAGAGAAGCATACCAAACAAACAGGGTTTAGCAAAATCGCTGGTTGTAATCGCCAGGGAAACGATATACAGTCCTAGAATAAATGACTGTGCATTTGATAAGGCCACGTGAAGGTGTTGTGATCCCCGCTCTCTATTAGGGTGAGGGCTATCTCTTTGCAAACACCCATGACCTCACGACCACAACGAAGAGCATGTAAGAGATTTGTGGCTGGCCAGATGGTGTCGTACACACGTGTCATTTGGCATTGTGGTGAAACAAATTCAGCTCGATTATAATGTGACTGGACATGCTCGGGAACAATGCCCCATATAAACGTGGATGTCCAGCCAGATGAGCTGGCACGCAGCTGTAGGCTGACCCCATAGCCAGGTGATATCACACTCCTCCATAATCTTGTTGATATGCTCAGTTGAGGTGATGCCTACCTGTAGTTCTACTGATCGGAGGCTGACACTCATTGCTCATTTGAAGACGAGAACAATTCACTTTAATGGGCAACATCAAGTGCATAGATCCTCATATGCTGTTATCTAAATTTTGTATCGCCTCGGTGATTTAGTTAAATTGCAATGAAGAGAACTGGTGTATAAATCAGCCAAACGTGTGCTCAACGAGTGTACGGTTGGCAGATATAAATAGATCTTATTGTTTTCTGCTCTACTGACAAACCATGACTTTATTTACCAATATATATTTTAAAATATATATACAGATAAAAAATAGATGTTGTTGCTTGACTGCTGCTGCTTATCTTGTTTAAATTAAGCCTCTTTCATTTCTGGCCCTCACTCTCAGCAATAAAAAAAAGACTTGGCACTGACTCCTGGCCCTTTACATGGGGAGATGATCTGAACACTTGCAATGAATACGTTTTCACCCTTAAATGTTAAGTGTTACGTTCACAAAATGTGTCTGTTTCCAATAATATGCGTTAATTGTGTTTTGACCGACCATCTGTTGCTTTATATGGTTTCCAAATTTTCCTAAACCCTGTTTGTTTGGTATGCTTCTGTCTCTGTGTCCCCTGTTGTATCTGTGTTAGTTCCCCCCTACTTGGGTGTCTGTATATACATCTGGGGTTATGTGTTTCCTCTCTCTCGTAAATTTAGCTCTTCTGTACCTGATGATGGCTGCTTGTGTTGCAACCGAAACGTCGTACGCTATTATGTTATTTTATTATTTCTTATTTATACGTGACTTTACCGAAAAAAAACAAAGAGTAATTCCTGCAGTCACGAAAGCTTTGAATCAAGTCTGTAGTGCCTCTTGTTAAACAGTGCTTCAGTTAAACAGGAAAATTAATAAATCCAGCAGGCATGACTTGAAAAGTAACAAATTTACATTTTGGGTGGCACTCTAAATCGTCCGGTAAATCGTGTCGCCAATTATAATTTCTGCGTTTATCTGCGCGTGTCTGTGTACCCCCAGTGGAGGAATACGTGCGCAGCTTGCTGGACAACCCTGAGTTGATTGACCGTCTGGCACTGGCCTCGGAGCAGGTGAGACTCCGTATGCGTGCATCAGCTCTGCCCCCCCCTCATATTTATGGTGCGGGCCTGTACCCTTGTCCGACCCCTCACTTCCGCGTTGCATCCAGCTGCCTCACTGAAGAAAGGGACACTTGCCTTGCGCTGAGTACGACGTTTCGCTGGTTGTAATCGCCAGGGAAACGATATACTCGATTTGTAAGTGTTGTGGGTTTACTCTCCAATACACTGGCGTGCTGCAGTAGTAACTAATTGACACGTTTTGTTTTACGTAACAAACCTTACTAATTGTCTGTGCCGGGTTAACTACGCACATTTACGCGCTCTTACCCAAAAAACCTTTATTATGGATAATATTGGTCGCAAAAGAACACGTGTTAAACAGCTCCCGTTTAGAACGTCTCATCCTCACCATCAATGGTCAATCAATCAAATAAATCCTAGATTTATAACGTGGCATATTTACCAAAAAGCAGAGACGGAAGGGTGAAACTCTAGAGGTAGCTCTATGATATCCGCTTTTGTGGAACGTTCTCTAACACGGATGGCCGTACTGCTCTGAGATAAATCAGACTGGATCCTTCGTCTCGTTACGTGATGGCGGTTGCAAAATTGTTGTTGACGCGTGCATGTGCCGTGCGTGTGCTGTGTACGTGTGCAGGATGTGGTGGAGTCCCGGGTAATCTTCCCCGAACATCTCCCGCTGTCCCAGCTGCAGCAAGGTGTGCGCTCCGGCCGGTTTGTCCAGGGAACCTTCCTTGCGAGTCGTGAGAATTACCTGGAGGGGACTCTGAGGGTGCGAGGGGACGGTGACAGTGATAAAGAGGTACACGTTTCACAAGCCTGCGTCTGGAAGGAACAATGCTGTCCGATCGTATCTGTGTGAGTTTTAAAAACAAATTTATAATTAAGCAGTGGCATAGCGTTCTTGGCATGAGCAGTAGCTCTTAACCTTTACTGCAAGGCTGCAGTAAAGGTTAAGAGCTACTGGGCTAAAATATTTGTATTTTGAACGTCTTTTGCACCCTACGTAGGTGTCATAGCCTGGCTCCTGCCCCCCCGGCCTGTGAGTCTTGGTGCAGTTGCACTGCCTGCACACTCGATAGCTACGCCACCACAACTACAGTATATACGTTAATTGTGACTACTTTAATAATAGGGTTTTTCCCTTTTTTTTCTGGCAACAAAACTGAAACCTTTTACAAGGAATCATGTGTGCATTAACCACAATACTTGTGGTCAAAATGCAAACAAAAAACACACTATGATAATATATGCATTGTCCTTGAGACTGATTGGTTCACACCAGGGACGGCTTTCTTTTGAGCCTCGACCCAATTGGTGCGAGACCAGAGGACGCCAAAAGGCGTACGCATATATTGCAAATATTATCAGTGTGTTTTTGTTTGCATTTTGACCACAAGTATTGTGGTTAATGCACACCTGATTCCTTGTAAGAGGTTTCAGTTTTGTTGCCAGAAAAAAGGGGAAAAACCCTATTATATTTTGGTACTGGCAAAGGAGGTCTAATGATGGTTGTGACTACTTTGTTAACAAAATGAATGGTCTATTTCCACCTCCAAAATGTAACGTTAAATAACAATTAGGTACATTGGCCCTTTGTTGGAAAAAAAAAACCCAGTCTAGAAATTGCCCTACTTGAACATATGTTACTGAAAAACATTGGTTTCAGAAGATTCATGGGCTCATAGTCCTACATTTTAAATTGTTTATTCGTGGTATTAAAACTCTTGTACAGTAAAACCTTGGATTGCGAGCATAATTCGTTCCGGAAACGTGTTTGTAATCCAAAGCACTCGTATATCAAAGCACTCGTATATCAGTTGTGATCACGTGACGCTCGGCAGTACAAAGCTGCTCGTATTGCAAGACCCTCGCTCGTTTATCAAATTAATATTTATTAAAAATTTTGCTTGTCTTGTAAAACACTCGCAGACCAAGTTACTCGCAATCCAAGGTTTTACTGTATATGCTGCTCTCTAACAGCACTTGGCCCAGCGGTCTGTTAAGACTATACGGGGGATCTTTTTTGTCTGCGTGCAGGTGTTGATCCAGGGGCTGCAGCATTTAAACCGCGCGATGCACGACGACATCGTGTGCGTGGAGATGTTCCCCGAGGAGCGCTGGGTTGCCCCCTCCTCGCTGGTCCTGCACGATGAGGGCGTCGCAGGGGACGTTGCAGAAGAGAATGAAGAGGATGTGGTGAGTGGAGCGTCAACACTGCCGAACCAAAATCAAACCCAGACACCTGCAGTGTGCGTGTCTCTCTCCCCGTGGTCGCATGGATTTTTCTCCAGGTCCTCCGGCTTTTCCCTCCACAGTTACAATCTGACATGCACTTAGAGTATGTGGCTGCTATCAATTTCAAATGTGATAAGATACTTCACTGAACGATCATTTGTGGCCAGGTCACTTAAAAAGAGCTATAGAGCTCTCAGGGTCCTTACCTGGTAAAGTTATTTAGTTTATAGTTTTTAAATAGTTTTAATATAAATTTTGATTTAAAGCTTTCGTGACTGCAGTAATTCATATTCTTAGTTTTTTTTTCGGTAAAGTCACGTTGAAGGGAAACAACAAAATAATAAAATATATAAAACAATAAAAAAATTCTCACGACGTTTCGACCATAACTCAAACGGTCGTCTTCAGGTGTGTTGGTTTGCATAAATTTATTTTTAAACGGCGCATTTATTTATTTATAAAAACGTTAGCGCCACGCGCAACGATTTGGCAGTTTATTTAGGACTAGCCCATCTATATTCTGAAAAGAGGAGGGGGGAGACGAAATTTTTTATAATGTATGCTGTCTGAAAGCCACTGTAAGCGTGAACAATCAATTAAGACCTGAAATGGTTTATCAAATCTTTCCAATGATTGCTAAGATAGAATCCATCTTCTCGGTTGAAATTGTCTCTGTGCTTGTATATGTGGATAGCCTCATGAACGAATCTCTCATGGAAGCCAGATGGCTTACAAAGAACCTCTGTCTTGGAAAAGTCAATGGCATGTGAGCCTACTGAATTAGAACAATGATCTGCCACGGCCGAGGTGTTGGTCCTACCGTGTTTAAGGTCTGCTTTGTGTTCACGAATGCGGTCCGAGACATGGCGTTTGGTTTCTCCAATGTAACTACTACCACAGAGGCAACTTAGTTTGTAGACACCAGGGTATTGTATGTCCGGAATCACATCTTTTACAGACGGAACCAGATCACGGATTTTATGTAATGTGTTGAAACGGACCTGGATCTTGTGTTTATTCAGGATTTTGGAGATCTTTTTTGTGACCCCCGCAATGTAGGGTAAAGTGATGGTTTTGAAAGGCTCCTCAAGAGGGTTCTTCTTCATGGTTTGAGTGATAGCTTTGCGGATTGTATAGTCGGAGTAACCATTAGCCCTAAGAGCTTGGTGTACGTGCTTGAGTTCACTGCTTATGTGTTCCTGGTCGGATATGCATTGGGCTCTATGATACAGAGTCTTGATGAGAGAATTCTTCTGTGATGGATGGTGGTGGGAATCCGGTTTCAGATAAGCATCCGTATGGGTAGCTTTCCTGTAGACAGAGTGGCTCATTGAACCATCAGGTCTCTTTTTAATTAGGACATCCAAAAAAGGTATCTTGCCATCTATTTCGACTTCCATGGTAAATCTGATGGCTGGGTGTATGGAATTGATGTGGTCGAAGAATTGGTCTAGAGCAAGCCGGCCATGTGGCCAGATGACAAAAGTGTCATCCACGTACCTCTTCCATAAGGTTGGGCGCAGAGTGGCAGTCTGGATGGCGTCAGTCTCAAATTTCTCCATGAAAATGTTAGCTATAACTGGAGAAAGGGGGGAGCCCATTGGGGTGCCCTCAGTTTGTTTGTAGAAAGTTCCATTCCAAGTGAAGTATGTATTGGTTAAACAGTGTCTCACCAGGGGGGGTACCTCAGTGTTTAGTCCTTGATGAACCAAGTCTTCAATGATTGCAATGGTGTCAGGTACAGGAACCTTGGTGAATAAGGAAACTACATCAAAACTGATAAGCAGGTCGTCTGGGGACAGGGAAATACCCTTGATTGTCGATACCAGGTGAGTCGAATTTTGTACCACAGAGGTGGTCTTTCCAGTGAAAGGACGCAGGATTTCAGACAAAAAACGAGCTAGTTTGTAGGTGGGGGAGCCGATAGTAGAGACTATGGGACGAAGGGGTGTATCTACTTTATGTATTTTTGGTAAGCCGTATAATCTTGGTGGCCTGGCAGCAGAAGGTTTCAACGAAAACTGTTTAGATTGATCAATTAATGCGGTTGAATCAGAAATTATTTTGTTGGTTTGTGTGACGAGGCTGTTGGTGGGATCTCTTTTTATTTTTGTATAACTACCATCGTCGAGTAATTCTTTAATTTTGTTGTTGTATTCTATTTTATCCATGATGACAGTAGCATTGCCTTTGTCAGCTGAGAGGACTACAATATCATTCCTCTTTTTTAATTTATATAATTCAAAACGCTCATCTTTGCTGAGGTTGCTAGCTGGCATCTTAGCGTTTTTGAGGGTTGCAGCGATTTCAGATCTTGCTACGTCTGCAGCGATGTGACCCAGGCCCCTGAGAGCAACGTCTACTTGGGCAATTATATCATTAACTGGTATGTGTTTAGGTGTGACTGCAAAGTTTAGACCTTTAGCTAAAACGGATTTCAGACTATCGGAAATAGAACTGTTACTGCGATTAATTACGACTTTGTTAACGTCTAACTATAAATGCACCGTTTAAAAATAAATTTATGCAAACCAACACACCTGAAGACGACCGTTTGAGTTATGTTCGAAACGTCGTGAGAATTTTTTATTGTTTTATATATATTTTATTATTTTGTTGTTTCCCTTCAACGTGACTTTACCGAAAAAAAAAACTAAGATTATAGTTTTAATATAGTTTAAACAAAGAATAACAACAAAAACTCAACCACTTCAAGAGAGACCTTAAACATAATGAACACCGTGTGACCAGACAACAATCCACATTAGAGATGCTGTTAGCTTGATTTTGCGTTTATTAAATGACTTTACATTACATTACTTCAAAATCAAGTCAGGAGTGCTAATCATTTCATACTATTTTTGTATGTACGTAGGGGTTATTTGACCATACTTCGATGCGGGTTGGTGAACGGGGGGGGGCATAGATCAGGAGCATAGAAGGACAGGACAACAGTTCATTTTGCTGTACTGCGCTCTGCTGCCTGCCATTTTGGCGCAGAGCCTATACCACCTGTTATGCATATCCAGGCTCAACACGGTGGCGCTTCCACGGTCTGAGCTCCTTTTTAATGTTTATTTTAATTAACTTAATTAGAACTCAAGAGATCAGGACACGTATCATTTGCGAGAGTGACCTGGGTCACAGGGTGGCCTCTATATTGAAAACTAATTTCTTTAGAACTGCTTTTTGTATTTAGATTGTTGTCCTTTCCGCGCACCTCCGATTAGCATGGTTGGCTGTGTACGGTGCGAAATAAGTTCTACATGCATACATACCACAGTGACAAAATGCAAAACATAATAAAGTACAGCAATGAAGTTAATTGAAATTGGCACGAAAACAACTGTGGTTTATGAAAAGTCGACAATATTGCACAAACATAAACAAGTGTTAGATATTAAATCGCATGTAGTGCAAGTTGGCTTGGGCAGATTATTTATAGGCTGATCATTGCACAGTTATACTTATTAAAACGTTACGTAAACATTAAACACATATAGGGTGACTGATGTGCTAAGCAGGTAAGAGAAAATGTCAATCAGTGAAATCATAAAGAATCGAGAGATTAAGCATCAAATTGTGAATTAGATGGGAGGGTAACCTTTGTTGTAGATAATATTGGTCGCAAAAGCTTACGCGTTTTTTTTTAAACGTGTGGTATCTGATGGGCGTGTTCCGGTTGATTCTATCAATCGCCAGAACTGTTTTAACTTATAAATATTTACGGAGGACTCCTCACTGTGATCTTTTGTCATTTTAACAAAGCGTCAGTCTCATTATTGACATTGATGAGACACAGCATGAAACCACATCCGCAGGTTAAGCGCTATTGTTTTGGATTGCTCCTTCCCCTTCAAGCCAAATTGTATTGTGTTATGCAGTGAGTTGGTTAAAAAAATAGTTATTTCATTATTTCAGTGTGTGAGAGAGACGCTACTGTGGTGAGTGCTCATTTGAGTTTGCGTTGTCATCTCCCGGTGCTATCCCAGCTGCTGCTGCTGTCGTCGCTCTTGCTTAGATTACGCAACACGATGTTTGTCCTTTGTTTTGGTCTCCAGCTGAAAGCCGAAAGTGGGAAGATGCGTCGGCCCACTGGCAAAGTGGTCGGCATCATCAAGCGGAACTCGAGGCCGCTGTGCGGCATGCTCATGCCCAGCCCAATCAAGGAGGTGGGCTGATCTGCATGTGTGTGTGTACGTGTGGGGAGCGGTAATGTAGCGGTTAGCGCGCTGCGCTACGAATCCTGGGACCCGAGTTGGATTATATTTATCGCTCATAACCAATAAACAGCGCCAAATGTCTGAACCTGTCTTGGGCCCTTCCCTAGGTCGACTCGGCCATAAATGAGTCTCTGATGTGGCATGTAAACATCAGCGCTGTGGAGACAAAGGCGGTCGGGCATGGTGCTGGCCGTACCCACCCCGTCGTTTGCCGTACCAGCTTGAATAGGTGTGTGCTGACGGCACTTGCCCAAACAGTTTGTTGAATGCCTTACTGGGGGCTCTTTGTGCGTGTTGCAGGCCACCCGCCACCTGTTCACGCCCGCGGACCGCCGCATGCCACGAGTGCGGGTGGAGACAAGACAAGCAGCGTCCCTGCAGGCCCACCGCATCGTGGTGGCCATCGGTGGCTGGCTGCGACACTCCCGCTACCCGAACGTACGACTGCACCGTGACGCCCCGGACGCCGTGACACCTCACCCGTCTGTCCCGTGGTCGGCATCGTCGGGCTCATCCTTCTGTCACTTGACGCGCGGCCACGCGGCTCTGTATGCAATACAGCCGTCGAACCCAAAACACGAACGGTGACACGGTGAATTGGAAGTCAGGGTGGATGAAGTGGCACCACTGTGATATTTTTTTGTTTGAAAGCATGGCAAACTCACCTGTGATTCAACCTAGGTTATTAAGGTGTTGTAAGTTGATAGTCTCAGCCCAGTCACCAATAACTGCACCAAAAACGATATTAAATTTGGTCGTGCACTTCGATTGTTTGATTTCCATCTCTGAGAAAACTACTGCGTTTGACTGCCATGTGATGAACATTACTTTGATTGGCAGAGTGGTTGGAAAAGCACTGCCCCCCTACAATTTGGACTGCATTTCACTTCAATGGATCTTAGAAGTAGCTCTGTTATGTCTGCTCCTGTGGGTCGTCCTTGACCACGAAGGGTTTGTATAGATTGCTTGTCTTGTGCGATACCATTAACACAATGAGAAACAAAATTGGTGAAAAGTTAAATATATTGTTAAGATGTATTCTTTGGGTTGTATCTTTGTTTAAACAGATGTCGGTTAATATTCTACATAATGTACGTTAGGTACAAGGTTGGCATTGTGGTTGTGCTTTTCATACCTATTTGCCACTGCACAACCGAGCGACACCATGGCTGGCACGGTTTAGTAGGCTGCAGGTTGTTTATCCACTGCAAAAGCGGATCCATGCCATGGACGGTCAATGCTTTGAACAAGGCTAGGCACGTGCAGATGACGCTGTGGTGCCACGTCCCCGCGGTGTACTGACTGCCGTCACACAATTAACGTGTCGCTAGCCCCGCCCCTGGCCCTGCTCGGCCCCCGGATATATTTGGATGCCTTGTGGGGCCAGCATACTACGGTTTGGTTCTGGTTCGACACGGCAAAAAGCCAGTGGGTGACCACAGACACTTCGAGAGATCTGCACTGTCTGGGTTCCAATGTACCAGTGGAAAAGGGATACCGGTGACGATTGGCCACGTATGTGCATATGCATGTTGAACTTCTTCCGTACCATACGTAGACAACCGTGCTAATCGTCGGTGTGCTTGTGCAGGGCCATTTTGTGCGCTCTCTGGGCGAATGTGGGGATAAGGAGACGGAGACGGAGGTGCTGCTGCTGGAGCACGACGTGCCACACCAGCCCTTCAGCCAGGCCGTACTTGCATGCCTGCCCCCTCCCACGTTCAGCATCACAGCAGAGGTACGCATGAGACGTGTGACGATATGTCAATTCATCGATTGAGTTCAATTCTTACGCCTGCGGTGTGTTGGTGTGTTTGGTCGTGCATGTGAGAATCCTTTACTTCAATGTTCTTTATTACAAGGCCCACGGGCCACTGGTGGCCCCTGGGTGGCCTTTGGTGTGGCCCATGACCGACGTATAGGCCCCCGACAATAGACAAATGCGAAAACACCCCCCATCATCATCATCGTGCTGTCAAACCTCAATAGTTTCAAGATGTTTGGCCTGCGTAGAATACCTTCTAGAGGGCCTCTCTGGAGCTCTCCCTCCAGTCGAGGTCCTTCCGCTGCACTGGCATGAACGAGAAGCCACGGGGCTCTACACCTTTACCGCAGACCGTATATAGAAAAGCCGTCGACCTGAAAGAAAGTCGATGGCTCGGACACATCATCGTAAGAAGAGAGGAAATTCACATCGGAGGAAGGAAGGCGACGGACTTATGGAAGCACCAGGGCGGAGACCCGAGAGGCAGGCCTCGAGAGATGCGGATCAAAGTGGTGAGCCAGGATGTGGAGGACTCTGCAGTAGCCGTGGAGATGGTCCAGTACAGAAATGAATGGAGCAAGGGGACTACAGACTTTTTTCCTATAACGCTGTACTTGCGTTCCTGAAGAACACCGAATTGTGGAAAAATCGCATAATAAATAATATAGGGTAAAGCACAGTCCGCGATAACACGTGAGATGCGTACGCAGGCTTAACAAAGACTTCGGGTACGTGAGTAGCATCTAGAAGCATCCAGAAGCATCCCGCCTTGTGTGATGCTACACCGAGGCAACCGTACAACCGCTTATTCTGCCTCGCACAACGCAGTTCTGTTCACTCGATCGCCTTTTATCCAATTCGCATCCATGTTATGAAAAAAATGTGTTCCCTAATGCATTCATCGCATTATATCTAATTCACGATATGAAAACACGCAGAGTTATAGGAGAACGGACTGTACTTTCAAAATATTCAGTCGCCTATTGAGAAGATAGAACGCCATTAGAATGAAGTTGGTTTACCCATGTATGGCTCACCCTGTGTTTTGTTTGTTGTAAGGCAGCGTTTTGTTGAACCTGGTGCTGTGTGTGTCCCGTACAAGGACCAGGCTGGCAGGGAGGACCTCCGTGCGTTGTCCATCTGCAGTGTGGATCCTCCAGGCTGCACAGACATCGACGATGCCCTACACTGCAAACCGCTCGACAATGGGAACACCGAGGTATTCATTTGGTGGTGGTAATCGTGGTCACGGTCGCGGTAATTCGTGCCTATTCCTTTCATGGTTTTGTCAATGCTAGCGGAGGTGACAAGGGGAGTTTAGTGGCACAATGATAAGTGCACTGCACATTCATCCTGTCAAGCTGGTTTAGTTCCAGTCATGGCTAACACCGGTACAGAGTGATATCTAAAAAAACTGCCCAAGTTCTCCCCTTCACCACCTGCATTGACCATCGTAATAAAGCAAGGTCAAATGACAATCGCGACCCATTACGGCATGGAGAAGCCCTCATCCTGCAGTGGATTGACAAAGGGGTGGACAATATTCCTGTTATTAAGTTTCCAAACATTGTTGCCTTAGTGCCCGTATTCTTGGTCTCTGCTCGGCTCAGGACTGACTTCAACATGGCTCGGTTCTGGCTTGATCTGCTCCGTTGCCTCCAAAGAAGCATGAGTGGCTCAGCTGTGCCTTGGCTCAGGCTCAGCTCACGGAAATTCTGAGCGTGGCTGGGAGCATGCAGAGATATACGAGGAGGCACAAGAGACACAGAGGCTCAGGGCTGGAACCATGCTTAGAGGCAGCTCGGGTTTTAAGCGTTGCTTTGATGTGGATTATTGAGAATTATAATCATAATATTTATACTGGAGGAATCCGATGAGCTATAAAGCTATTTTTCACATGTCCAGCAGAGGCGGGTAAGAACGTTACAACAACAAACAGTACAAAAACATAATAGTAGTGCAAAGTACAAGAAAGATAAACAAATAACCCAAACACAAACAAATACAACGAAACCATCCCCATCCTACCAGGCAAAGCCCACTGAGGTATTGATTTATTTTTGATTAGTGACCTGGCCACAAATGAATAGCTCAACAAAGTGGCCCATCATTTGGACATTTATAGCAGCCAAAATAATAGAAATAATCTCAATGCATGTTGCGCGAGAGCCAAGCCTGAGCCAAGCCATGGCTAAGACCCCACTGGCCTAAGTGTCCACGTCACTGGCCGAATGCCTGGTTCACAATGAATGCACCAGGTAGTAATGGATGTGCATTTCATTTCACATTATTGTGCTTTGGTTGGAGTGGCTATGGTGGAGGTTATGCATGCATGTGGAGTGAGCGACTTCCGACAGACGTCTAGTAGAAGGCGTCTTATTTATTAAAAGCACACAGGGCGATACACTTCGTAACGCGGCTACACCTAGGCTGTACAAGCACGCAGCCCATCTGCGTCCTGCGTAGCTACGCTGGCTGGTTGACGAGCGTAGCGGCGGAGACAGAGCTGCTCTTGCAGAAGAACCAGCCACGTGGTCGAAGACGAAGAGATGACGACGGTAGCGACGCAACCAGGACCCAGACCCCACGCTAACAGCCCCGAAGTTCTGATTCGGTGCTCTTTATATCTGCCTGGAGTGGCCAAGCTCCACCTCTGGCCACGCCCCGTTTCTAGAACCTTCTAGGCCCTTCGGGATGGTTCCCGGAGCTTCTCGACTGACTCCGCCGTTGACCTTTACCCCAGATACGCCCCTTCATAATAAGGCATTATGTAATGCAGCTATAACCTTAATTACCCTTACAGGCCGGCAGGTATCACCCTGTCATTACACATCCATGCATGTGAGGGTGGTGACGGTGTATTAATGTGTGTTCTAGGTTGGGGTACACATCGCCGATGTGAGCTACTTTATCCGGCCGGGGAATGCCTTGGATGAGGAGGCATCTCTGCGTGGTACCACAGTTTACCTGTGTGAGAAGGTGAGATGTGGATTTCTTCTTGCAACAATATCAAGTGTTTTACGACCCGCCGATTTCATCCTTTCATTCTTAACTTTACGACATGATGTAAAATATTACGATGTAATGATCATCGCGGTACCAGTTTCCCCACAACTGTAATTGTATTTGACATTTTCACCACATTTTTTTGCGTGCTTTTCAGTACTTCCCGTATGAATAACGATAACTTAAAATTAATTAGAATAAAAAAATGTGCAACAACAATGCTAAATATCTCTCATGATGTTTTAAACGAGGTGATTTTTGTGGATTTCTTATCATATGATGTACCGTGACATCATGAGCGGCAGGCTATCGGCGCAGTGGTAACACTCGTGCCTTGCAGCAAGGAGACGCTGGGTTTGATTACTCAACTCTTGTGCCTTTTCGCTTGCAGTTTTGTTTGTTCTCCCCCCTGTTAGTGAATGGGTTTCCTCTGGATTCATCAGATTTCCTCTAAATAAAACCCATACAATCTTAACTGGCATTCGCGAAAACATCCCCTTGCTGAACAGTTACCTACAGGTGACTTAATCATGTGTGGGTTTGCTTGCAAAACACTCGTTGAGTTGGTGCATATGTATATGCCAGATTGTGTTTATTGACAGAGAAGTGGTTGCATTTTGATTTAAAGCTTTCGTGACTGCAGTAATTCATATTCTTAGTTTTTTCGGTAAAGTCACGTTGAAGAGAAACAACAGAATAATAAAATATATATAAAACAATAAAAAATTCTCACGACGTTTCGACCATAACTCAAACGGTCATCTTCAGGTGTGTTGGTTTGCATAAATTTATTTTTAAACGGCGCATTTATTTATTTATAAAAAACGTTAGCGTCACGCGCAGCGATTTGGCAGTTTACCCAGGACTAGTCCATCTATATTTTGAAAAGACGAGGGGGGAGACGAAATTTTTTTTTTTATATATATATAATGTATGCTGTCTGAAAGCCAATGTAAGCGTGAACAATCAATTAAGAACTGAAATGGTTTATCAAATCTTTCCAATGATTGCTAAGATAGAATCCATCTTCTCGGTTGAAATTGTCTCTGTGCTTGTATATGTGGATAGCCTCATGAACGAATCTCTCATGGAAGCCAGATGGCTTACAAAGAACCTCTGTCTTGGAAAAGTCAATGGCATGTGAGCCTACTGAATTAGAACAATGATCTGCTACGGCCGAGGTGTTGGTCCTACCGTGTTTAAGGTCTGCTTTGTGTTCACGAATGCGGTCCGAGACATGGCGTTTGGTTTCTCCAATGTAACTACTACCACAGAGGCAACTTAGTTTGTAGACACCAGGGTATTGTATGTCCGGAATCACATCTTTTACAGACGGAACCAGATCACGGATTTTATGTAATGTGTTGAAACGGACCTGGATCTTGTGTTTATTCAAGATTTTGGAGATCTTTTTTGTGATCCCAGCAATGTAGGGTAAAGTGATGGTTTTGAAAGGCTCCTCAAGAGGGTTCTTCTTCATGGTTTGAGTGATAGCTTTGCGGATTGTATAGTCGGAGTAACCATTAGCCCTAAGAGCTTGGTGTACGTGCTTGAGTTCACTGCTTATGTGTTCCTGGTCGGATATGCATTGGGCTCTATGATACAGAGTCTTGATGAGAGAATTCTTCTGTGATGGATGGTGGTGGGAATCCGGTTTCAGATAAGCATCCGTATGGGTAGCTTTCCTGTAGACAGAGTGGCTCATTGAACCATCAGGTCTCTTTTTAATTAGGACATCCAAAAAAGGTATCTTGCCAGAAGTGGTTGCGTTTATGTGTTTGTGCGCCTGCAGAGGATTGATATGGTGCCAGAGTTATTGAGCTCAAACCTGTGTTCCTTGAGATCCAACGTCGACCGGTGAGATGCACCAACAACTGTGAACTCGCGAGTGCGCATATTGCAACCCATACTCAGCAGCTAACGTGCGTTGTTGCCAGGTGCACATGTAATCCCATGATGCGTGGCACTGTTAAAATGTCATGGTACAGATCCACACAAGCATGTGTACATACATAAGCAGCCAAACCAGGATGGCACAATGGTAACACGTGTCTCACAGCAAGAATGGCCTAGGATTGATGCCCGACTTGGTTGCCTTTCCATGTAGATTTTGTATGTTCTCCCCCTATTTAGCATGGGTTGACTCCAGGTTATCAGGTTTCCTCTCATCGCTAACATAAACGTGTTATTACTACTATGATCCTTAACCAAGGAAAGCCTCACTGAATCTCATAACTTCGGGAGGGTACTGCAAAGCTTTTGCAGTCGAACAATGGTTGCTACATATATATTCCAGTTGAGTAATTTGTAACAACCCAAACCGGTATTTGGCCAAACATCCCGCTGCTGAAAGAATGACTCGACTACCAAAAACTTGGCAAGACCCTCCTGAAAAAGAGTCTCGAGACTTTGCGAGGCTTTCCTGAGTGAACACCCTGCACCACTCCAATGACGACGACTCCGCCACTCGACGGTGAATGGCGACGGTGCATGTGCTGTGCGCGTGCAGGCTGGCGTTCTCGTGCATATGGGAGATGACTCCAAAGGCTGAGATCGTGAGCACACGTTTTACCAAGAGCATCATCAATTCCAAGGTGATTTCCCCCCCCCCTCCCCCACAGACGTTCAGTTTTTGTAAAACTCTCGTTTGCTTTCACGTGTATTGTATCGGTGCCTTGCTATGTTAGTGCAGTTGAGGTTTCCGGATGGCTGAGAGGTCAGAGCGTTGAGCTTGCACCTCTGGGTTCACAAGTGTAGCGAGATGAACCGGGTTCACAAGTGGTAGTATGTATGTTGAACTTCTTTTGCACCGTACGTAGCCAACTGTGCTAATCGGAGGTGCGAGGTAGAACATGAAAGTAGTGAGTTGATGGTCTCTGTCCAGTCAACAATCACTGCACAAAACACAGGTTTTTTTTTTAGGTAAGATCGTGTAAATATGTAAATGTGTCATTAAACCCACCCCCACCCGACACAGCCAACTAATAAGGGTTGTCACGTAAACAGAACATGCCAATTCGTCACGAGTACAGCACACCGGTGTGTTGTACCAGTGACGAATTGGCCACGTTCTGTTTATGTGACAACCCTTACTAGTCGGCTGTGTCGGGTGGTGGCGGGTTTAACGACACATTTATGTATTTACACAATCTAACCCAAACAACCTGTATTATGGATGATATTGGTCACGAAAGCCTACGTGTTAAACTCACTGCACGAAAGACCACCAAATTACATTGCACTAAATTTGGTTAAATTCCAGCTTTGAGAATTAAAAAAAATATCAATTTTACTGTCTTTGGGTGAGCGTAACCCTCAGTGGTCATCGGGAGCCACGTAGACATCTGTTGAGTTCTGGCTTGGGCTTGGATCAGGCGTGGGCATTGTGTAATTGCGAGGACCCCATGGTTCACCCGTGGTGTGTTCATCGTATCCCCGCAGGCGTCTCTGACGTACGCAGAGGCTCAGCTAATGATGGACGACGCTGGGCGGAAGGACCCGGTCACCAGCAGCTTGCGTGGCCTCAACTCCCTGGCCAAGATCCTCAAGCAGAGGCGCATTCAAAACGGGTAACTCATTGTCAAGATCCTCATCCCCTCCACCGCCTCTGGAGCGCTGAGCAGTATTAATGGGTGCACCACATTTAGTCGATCGGCAGGTCGCCTGTGGCGCGGTAAAGTGTGGTTACTCCCGTGTCTTCTAAGACATCCGGCCAGCGTGGAAGAGTAGGCTAAAATACATTGAGAGGGACTGTAAAAGGGTGTATCTCTAGAGGGGCCCCCTCTTATGGGAGCCCCCTTCTTCCAGCAGTGGCTTGAGCAAGCAATTGCAAGGCTGCACCTGTAGCTTTTTTTGACCCCATGATGCATGAGGCTTGGGTGAATACCATGCACAAACAAGTGTTACAGGATTCATACTCTGGTCTTTTTTTCAGTAAAGTCACGTAGGTAAAACTATAAAATAAAATAACAACTAAATTAAATCACGACGTTTCGGGCGCAACACAAGCGTCCTTCTTCAGGTGGGACAACCACAGCCAGAAACAATTGCTGAAGTGGGCAAAAAAGGGCTGTTGTAACAAGAGGCTATATAGGTAAGAGAGTGGGGGGGAGCAAGGGGGGAGAGATAGAGAGGGGGGGTGTGGGGTAGGGGAAGTGGGGTGCTGCTAGAGGGATTAAAGGGGCGAGCACGGCAAAATGCCGGTGGGCGGGGAAGTGAGCGGGGCTGGGAGTGGGAGGCTGAAGAAGCTGGAGATGCGGTAATGAAGGCAACAATAAAGAATATATATTCTTAGTTTTTTCGGTAAAGTCACGTTGAAGAGAAACAACAAAATAACAAAATATATATAAAACAATAAAAATTCTCACGACGTTTCGACCATAACTCAAACGGTCATCATCAGGTGTGTCGGTTTGCATAAATTAATTTTGAAAACGGCATATTTATTTATTATATATAAAAAAATAACGTTTGCGTCACGCGCAACGATTGGCTGTTTGCCAGGACTAGTCCATCTATTTTTTGAAAAGAGGAGGGGGGAGACGAAATTTGTTTTTATGTATGCTGTCTGAAAGCCACTGTAAGCGTGAACAATCAATCAAGAACTGAAATGATTTATCAAATCTTTCCAATGATTGCTAAGATAGAATCCATCTTCTCGGTTGAAATTGTCTCTGTGTTTGTATATGTGGATAGCCTCATGAACGAATCTCTCATGGAAGCCAGATGGCTTACAAAGAACCTCCGTCTTGGAAAAGTCAATGGCATGTGAGCCTACTGAATTAGAACAATGATCTGCTACGGCCGAGGTGTTGGTCCTACCGTGTTTAAGGTCTGCTTTATGTTCACGAATGCGGTCCGAGATATGGCGTTTGGTTTCTCCAATGTAACTACTACCACAGAGGCAACTTAGTTTGTAGACACCAGGGTATTGTATGTCCGGAATCACATCTTTTACAGACGGAACCAGATCACGGATTTTATGTAATGTGTTGAAACGGACCTGGATCTTGTGTTTATTCAAGATTTTGGAGATCTTTTTTGTGATCCCAGCAATGTAGGGTAAAGTGATGGTTTTGAAAGGCTCCTCAAACCATGAAGAAGAACCCTCTTGAGGAGCCTTTCAAAACCATCACAGAACCCTCTTGAGGAGCCTTTCAAAACCATCACTTTACCCTACATTGCTGGGATCACAAAAAAGATCTCCAAAATCTTGAATAAACACAAGATCCAGGTCCGTTTCAACACATTACATAAAATCCGTGATCTGGTTCCGTCTGTAAAAGATGTGATTCCGGACATACAATACCCTGGTGTCTACAAACTAAGTTGCCTCTGTGGTAGTAGTTACATTGGAGAAACCAAACGCCATATCTCGGACCGCATTCGTGAACATAAAGCAGACCTTAAACACGGTAGGACCAACACCTCGGCCGTAGCAGATCATTGTTCTAATTCAGTAGGCTCACATGCCATTGACTTTTCCAAGACGGAGGTTCTTTGTAAGCCATCTGGCTTCCATGAGAGATTCGTTCATGAGGCTATCCACATATACAAACACAGAGACAATTTCAACCGAGAAGATGGATTCTATCTTAGCAATCATTGGAAAGATTTGATAAATCATTTCAGTTCTTGATTGATTGTTCACGCTTACAGTGGCTTTCAGACAGCATACATAAAAACAAATTTCGTCTCCCCCCTCCTCTTTTCAAAAAATAGATGGACTAGTCCTGGCAAACAGCCAATCGTTGCGCGTGACGCAAACGTTATTTTTATATATATATAAATAAATAAATATGCCGTTTTCAAAATAAATTTATGCAAACCGACACACCTGATGATGACCGTTTGAGTTATGGTCGAAACGTCGTGAGAATTTTTTTATTGTTTTATATATATTTTGTTATTTTGTTGTTTCTCTTCAACGTGACTTTACCGAAAAAACTAAGAATATGAATTACTGCAGTCACGAAAGCTTTAAATCAAAATTGTTTTACTCTTCTTAATGCTCCCATGTCTGTGCTCCCCCACCTTTGCCAACGCGTACTGACCACCACGGTTAAGTACGGTAAAACCACCCCACGACCCGCATGACATGGGGCGGCCCTCATCCAGCAGTGGATTGACTTAACGAGCTGTGCATGTTCAACTCAAATATCTGAGTTTGTGAAGTGTCTTATATTAAGATTCTGTGTTGTTTTGGCTGGACATGATAATCGCTCATGTCCCTTCTCCACCCGTAGGGCATTGACTCTGGCATCCCCTGAGGTCCGATTCCACATGGACAGCGAAACCCACGACCCGATCGACCTGCAGACCAAGGAACTCAAGTGAGTCTCGTCAACAAGACACCTCCCATGACTGCAATCCGACTGTTGTGCAGATCTCTCTATCAGAATCAAAATATATATTTCTACTGGAAGAATCCGATGAGCTATAAAGCTCTTTTTTCACAGATGTCCAGTTGGGGCAGGTCACAACGTTACAACAACAAACAATACAAGCACACGTTAGGATTGCAAAGTATTGGAAAGGTAAACAAATAACTTAAACAAATATACAAATAAAACTAAACTATTTTTATCTTACCAAGTAAAACCCTGACCACAAATGATAGCTGAACAAAGTGGCTTATCACGTGGGAAATTTATTATCAGCAAAATAATCTAAGATAAAGATTCTTGACCCTTGTGGTTGATGTGTTGTGGTGGCGGAAACTGGTGCGTGTACACAGGGAGACCAACTCGATGGTGGAGGAGTTCATGTTGCTCGCCAACATCTCCGTGGCGGAGCGCATCGTAGACGAATTCCCCGAGTGTGCGCTGCTCCGACGCCACCCGGCGCCTCCGCCTTCCAACTACGACATCTTGGTGAAGGCGGCGAAATCAAAGGTAGAGTTAGAACCCCTTTTAACGACCACCCTTGTTAACTAATCGCTTAACAACGGGCCTCCAATGTGTAGGCTTAACCGACCATTTCCCTGTTAACGACGGGCTGTTGTAGGTACAGTAAATATGAATTAATGCCACGTAGAAGGGAAACAATAAAATAATAAAATAATAAAACAATAAAATTCTCACGACGTTTCGACTGCAACACAAGCAATCATCATCAGGTGTGAAAACCACAACAAGAAAATTTGAAAAAAAGTGGCAGTTATTTTTAACGTTAGCACCACGGAGAGAGATTTGACAGTTTGTTCAGATGGACGAGTCCATCTATGTTCGGAAAAGAGGAGGGGGGAGACGAAAAATAATGGATGCGTTCTGAAAGCCACCTTAAGCGTGATCAATCAATTAAGACCCGAAATGGTTTATCAAATCTCTCTCCGTGGTGCTAACGTTAAAATAACCGCCACTTTTTTCAAATTTTCTTGTTGTGGTTTTCACACCTGATGATGATTGCTTGTGTTGCAGTCGAAACGTCGTGAGAATTTTATTGTTTTATATTTTTATTATTTTATTGTTTCCCTTCTACGTGAATTTACCGAAAGAACCAAGAATATGAATCCCTGCAGTCACGAAAGCTTTAAATCAAAATGAATTAATGCATTTATTAACAGTGTTTATTTTAATATGATGTGTTTATAATGTTAGTATCTTTATGTATTAATATCCATTGTTTAAATATTATAAAGTACGTTTTTTGGGTGAACAAGGGAAACTTTCGATGCTATCGGAACGAATTAAGCTTTTAACACGTATTTCCTATACTCGCTTAATGACCAAATCCTTTAATGCTCGTGTTCGTGGAACCAATTACCGTCTTTAAGAGGGGTTCTACTGTCTCTAGATTGCTGTTAACCTTCCTTCAATATCATCCTCCTCGCAAGGAATTCAGAGGTCGCCGGGTGGCTCAAATTTTAGTTTGAGGTCTTTTGGTTTAACCGGGTGAGAACTCAAGAGACCATAATAGTCTCATTTGCAAGGGTCACCTGGGTCACCCTATGACCCAGAGATTACAGCTGGACCCTGGCTTCAAAATCCAGCAGCCGCATTGAACATACTGTGTTATCAAGTGTAGGGAGTTGAAGGACTCGGCTCGTTTCCCAGCTACTCCACAGAAATAAGCAACAAAAAACCATCACGATAAATGTAGTACTGTATTTAATTTTAGATAAATTCCAGCACTGAAATGTTGAAATATCAGGTCGACTTATTGTGATGAACATTATGCTCAAAATGGGTGGGAATGTGCTACCCCCTACTGTGAAGCAGAGGTGTCTTGAAACGATGTCAGTATTGGCCTGAGCGAGCAATTGCAGGGCTGCACCTTTTACCTTTATCTTGAGATGTAGCCGTATAGTTTCCACTCGCCCTTAGAGGCAGAACAACTCAAAAGGTGTGACGAACCACAGACAACGCTGGAAGGCAGCCAGGCACTGTGCCAGATGTAGATTAATCCACTTGCTGTACTGCCTTCTCCTGGCAAGCCAGGTTATGGAAACCTGAATGCCTACAGGAAGTGCGCTGAATAACGTTTTCTTTCCAATACACCACAACCCTTGCTGCTTCCCCAGCACTGAACTACAAGCCACGTGCGGGATAGTCACCTCACAAACGCCGGTGTGCCCGATTTTTTTGCGCAGAACATCGAGATCCAGGTGGACTCGGCTAAGGCGTTGGCCGAGTCCCTGGACCGGGCGGCGGTGCCGGGAGCGCCACCATACCTCAACACTCTGCTGCGCATCCTGGCCACGCGCTGCATGATGCAGGCCATCTACTTCTGCTCCGGCATGGAGCCCGACACCCACCACTACGGGCTCGCCACCGCCATCTACACCCACTTCACGTCGCCCATTCGACGGTGACGTGCTCTGGCGTCAGGCACACGCGTGAAATCGACCTTCGCGATTATTGAGGGGACTATGTTGTTGTCTTGGTGTGGTCTGGGACTGTGCTGCCTTTCCCAAGTTTAGGAATTTATTCATTAATTGATGTACTTATGCAATGTTAACTTGTCATTATGGCACACCTCCGATTAGCACGGTTGGCTACGTACGGTGCGAATGAAGTTCAACATACAACTTGTATATCTTTTTTCTATTATTTACTTTTAGTGATTTGTTTACCTTTCCTATTCTTAGCACTCCTATCATCTACCTACTGGACATCTGTCAAAAAGAGCTTTTATCGCGAATCGGATTTCTCCAGGATAAAGATTCAGATTTTGACTTATTTTTCTAAAAGGTCCTATAAACGGGAAGTTTGGCCAATTCCTTAAATGGTTGTTTGGCTTGTGTTGGAGAAAAACTAGAGGATCCGGAGAACACCAACGCCTACAAGGAGGGTGACAGTGTTCCACGTGCAGAATCAAGAATCCATTGCCGTGTTGCAGCGGCGGCCAAAAGTGAATTGCAATTCTGCCATGGATCGCTAACGATTTTGTTGTGGATCTTAAATAAGAACACAGATATGAGCAGGCAGCAATTTGCGTTACATCTGATGACAAATAAAAAATCCTCAACAAAGAATTAAATTCATACATTAACAAAGATAATTTCCACCAGCAGATGGTGCTAGAACGTGGTATGTCCAGAGTACAGTATTCTATCACAGCGTTAAATCCATCTGAGTCATTGTTTGCGTAGCTTTCTGGTGGATCGTGAAACCCGCTGAGATCCACCAGAATGAATCGCGGTGCTTGGTGGATTAATACCGCTGCTCCGTTGGCATCTCGTGGCCATACCGCAGCCTGTATCTACTGTAAATTTAATCTTCATATTAAATAGAGGCTACAACAAATGTGAATATTGTTGTTGTTGTCTCCCTGTACCGTTACAGATACTCGGATGTGATTGTGCACCGGCTGCTGGCCGTGTGCGTGGGCGCCGACCCCACGTACCCGGCGCTCACCGACAAGCTGGGAGTGCACAGACTGCGTGAGTCTCGGGATCAGTATGAGACTGGGGACCATGGTGCATCATCATCAATCCATCGATTACAAGCATTTCTTGAGGCGGCCCCATACCTGCGCGATAAGTGTAACTTGGTTGCATGCAACTGAATCGGGTTAGATCGCGTAAATATATAAATGTCGTTAAAACCCGGCACCACTTGACACAGCCATCTAGTAAGGGTTGTCACGTAAACAGAACATGCCAATTCGTCACTAGTACACACCGGTGTGTTGGAGAGCCAAGCCACAAGATTTACAATCTGAGTACGACGTTTCGCCAGTAATTACAACCAGCTTCATCAGGCGACAGCCAGATTTGTGGAGAAGTCCACGTGTTTCGTTCCTTATATAGAGGCATAGACTGTGGTGATCACACTTCTGCGAGCCCTTTGATCTTGTCCTTCCTGTCCATTGTGTATTAAAATAGTCGTATCAACAGTAATCCCTATTGAAGTATGGTACTCTGTATAGACATGCATTTACGCAATGTATTGGCCAGTCGTAGCTAGTTTTGCTCAGAACTTCAACATTATCAAAATTAATTGAGTGTTCTTGTTGGCACGCGTGTATTTAATATTTATCTGATATTATTTTAGTCCCGTGCTGATCATTCGTCCTGTTTGCCCGACATAACATTGGCCATAAGTGCAGTTAATCCTGTACAAACCTTCTGTTGATAGCTTCGGTAATACATATTTTGTACCAGAAGTCGAGTTCAAGAAACATAAGTACGTTTTTATTACAACTTAAATATATACATATATAAATATACATGTCCATCCAACCACATCTCAATGTCTATGTCTGGGAGAACACGCTAGTTTATCCCTCTGCAGGAGTCTCCACCACTTTTCTTTCTTTTTGTTTCCCAGCTGCTGGTCTTGGCGCTCCTTCCCTCTGTCTCCTCCTCGTTCATTCTCCTCTTCCTCATCTTTCTCCAGCTGCCGTGTGCAGCACAGGGAGCTCCAAGTCCAACGCCAGAAACTGTCCTTTCTCTCTCTCTTAGAAGATGGGATGTGCTTAATCTCTTTCTTTTCTTCCTGAACACTCTCTGACCTCCAAGGTTGCTCACATCTTCCTTCCTCATTCACCACTTCCTGCTTTGTATCGTCTTCAATCGTGTCGACCTCCTTCAGCTCTACCTCATTTGCCTCTAACTCAATAGCTCCTACTTCTTTTG